GTACCGCTGTTCCGACCTAGACCTGTGACCGGTAAGTCGGGGAGGTGGATGAACCCAGTGAGGCTGGGAGGGAGGAAAGGGGAGGGGGCGGGGAGAGAGGATCTGAGGAGGATGGAGTCGCCACCCAGACTTGCTGGTCCACAGCCAGCCGGAACCCATCCCGATCAGTGACCTGCCGAGACTGACGGCCTGAGCAAACCCAGGAAGGGTGGAGCTGGGGCGGGGAAGAGAAAGACGTACTTAGGGTCCCGGCCTGCCGAGTGTTTCACCCAGCGCCGGTTGTTTGTGCTGCCAGGATCGCGGATCTAGATTCTGCTCCCCCTCCCCACCACCACCACCAGTGCGTGCAGCCGCAGCCTCTGGCTGAAAGGCTCAAGCGAGGGAGGCATCAGGAGATCTAGGATACCAGAGCAAGTCACAAGGCTGCCCATTCTAACCCTAATCTGGGTGTATTGAGGGCTCTCAATTCCTAATTAGCGTCCTCCATACACTAATCCATCTCCAGCCATTCCAGAGATCCGTGTGCAGAGTGAGGGATTTGTGCCTTCCACCCCCTCCCCCAAGGCCTGAACCCCACTGAGAGAGCTCAGCGAACCCCATCTCCACCCTACCACAGCAGTAAAACGGCAGCCTTGTTGTTGAGCCCTTTCACCCCACCCCATATCCACTCGGTTACATAGCAGGAACCCCAAACCAAAGTCCTGGTGCTGGAGATTAAAAGAGCCCTTTTCCCAGCCCTGAGCCCACAGTCCTCCAAAACGCTGGGAGCCCTCTGTCAGATTACCACAAAATCAGAGGCTCGTTCTGCCTTCAGGCTGATGTCGGTGTTCCCAGGACCGGATGAGCCTATTCCCAGGCCCCGATAACCCCTTGCCCAGGCCCTAAATCAAGCTCCACCCCCTTCACAGAAGCTGAAGCCCCTTCCACCCTCTTCTCATAGATTCTGCCCAGTAGGATGAACTGGACTGCTGCCACGTGCTGGGCTCTGCTGCTGGCCGCCGCCTTCCTCTGTGACAGCTGTTCGGCCAAGGGCGGCCGGGGAGGTGCTCGGGGCAGCGCCCGCGGGGTACGCGGAGGCGCGCGCGGGGCATCGAGAGTGCGCGTAAGGCCGGCACCCCGCTACGGCTCCTCTGTGCGTGTGGCCGCTGCAGGGGCAGCCGCCGGTGCTGCGGCAGGTGTGGCTGCAGGCCTTGCCACCGGCTCTGGCTGGAGGAGGACCTCGGGGCCTGGCGAGCTAGGCCTGGAGGATGATGAGAACGGGGCAACCGGAGGCAACGGAACTGACCGGGGAGTCTACAGCTACTGGGCCTGGACTTCGGGCTCCGGGTCCATTCCCAGCCCACGTGTTTGCCTGCTTCTGGGCGGCACCCTTGGTGCGTTAGAACTACTTTGGCCCTAGATCAAGCTGAGCTCCGCCCCAGATCTGGCTCCTAGCCCGGGTCATCGGGGCCCTAGGGACCATCCCAGTGGCCTCTAGCTCAGAGAGTGACTTCCTTTTGCTGACTATGGTTCCCCAGCCCAGATGACAGTATGGGCATTCTGAGCCCACAAGCTCTCTTGCAATTTGTGGACACTGTCTACTCTCTTGCCCATCCCAGTCTCCCAATCTTCCACCCTGGCAGGAACAGCTCCACTGCCAGAGAGGCAGGCTGCCCTCCACTCTCCAGAGCTGCCCAAGAGGAAGTGTCGGGCCATGCCTGTGTGCTTGCACTGGACACACGAACATAAATTAATGCTGACCACCAGGAAGAGGCCATTCTCAGGTGGGCCTGCCTGATTCTGCCACTAAAGCCCAAAAGACCTTGCGCCTTCCATGGAAGTAGAAGGAAGGAACCACTTCCCTCTGGACTTTACAATTTGGTGAAGAGAACATTCACTTGGACTGCAGTGTGAGAAATGTCAGGTGCTAACCACCTGCCCAGAGCAGGTCCTAATGATGTCACAGCTCAGGAACATCCAGAGCAGAAAATACCCATCCCAGGACACCCACTGTGTCCTCCTTGAACATGCTACCAAGGCCAAGGTAGTATGTTTCTTCTTCACAGACTGCCTGAGACACCTTCTGTCAACAGCGTTCCCCATTTGGAGTCACTTGACCATAAGGACCACTTAACCGTTCCTAAGATCCACTGAGAGTCGGGGTTCCACATTCAGAAACATTCCATTTCCATTGACTTTAGGTTCACGAGTGAGGGTCACTTGGATACAATACCAATCCTGCTGGAACCTTCTTTGTACATGACCCAAACTGCAAGATTCCCACAATGCCAGTGGATAGCAGCATCTTGTGTTGGGAGACCCTCTCCCTTGGAAACAGAGGGACTGGGGAGGTAAGAGAATATGGCACCATTGGCAGCTGGCAGCCTGCACTTTGGAGAAGGCAACAGTTCTTCAGGCCCACTGACGTCAGAGGAAAGCTAACAGACACAGCAAAGCCAGCCTCAGCAGGTTGTGGGTGAGTGTGGTCTAAAAGTTTTCTGACCATCTATATCCATCCTGAGAACAAAGCTGATACCCAGGGTGGCCTCAAAGAGATGCACTACAGTCCTCACATGGATCTACATTGGGGCAGACTGGCTCCTTGCTGCTCCAGGGCCCACCAGCACATCCTTGCCCCATGGAGTGATGGGTCTCTGGGCTCAGTCAGTATACGCAATGCTAGCCTGGCAAACCTCTGGGTAGTATTCAGGTTTCAAGGCTATTGGCGGGACCCTAGCCAAGCAATTTCTTGACTAACAAGGTGCAGGGTGCAGTTCCCTGCACCCTCTCTCCACACTGCCGGTGCTCTTAGGCACAGCCAGCCCAGATGCTTCTCTGTCCCTTACAGACCAAGCTCAATACCAAGACCAGCAAGCTAAGGGCCAAGCCCACTCAGGGCCTCAAAGGCAAGTACCATCAAGTCTGGTATAGGAAGACCCACTAGGGCCCCTTCAGCTGGTCAAACACCTATGAGGATGCACTATGTGGACCTGACCTTCACGTACCAGAGCACCATGTGTTAGTTCTGGACATAATGGAAACACTGCCTTTAATTACTATTTCACACACCAATCTCACTTCTCCAGAGTGTTTAGCACTTGGCACAGCTACACATCTTTGGATACTTTCTCCACCAGCAGGAGCCATAAGATCCTAAGGGAGAATCTCAGAGGAGGCTTATCATGCTACAACCACAAGAGGCAACAGTGGAAGGCTAGCCCGTTATCAGCCGTCCAGAAGAAGCTGAGAGCCCGCTGAGCATGCAAGCACTACTTCAGGCAACTATGGGAAGGCCAGATCAATACCAGACAGAAGAAACTAGAACTACTGAGCAGGTATAGCCCAGATGGCCCAACAGCACCTCCTGTCTCTATCAACCAGCCCCTTCCCTTTTTCTTTCTAGACAGCAAGCTGCTGGCAACAACATCCTTTAGATGCCTACAGGTATCTGGAGGTCAACCATGCTGGGACACCCTCTGCACCACATCCTGCACCACATGGGTCCAATGGCTAGATGGTAATCCCCTTCCAGTGATCCTCTGGCCTGTGCAAAGTCGAGCCTACAGCACATGACCTCCCGAGGTACAGGCTCTGAAGTACAAGGGGAGAGGACATTCCTGGGCTTTTCTATTCCAAACCTCCTGTTGATGTCTGTGCACACATGTGTCAGTGAAGACTTCGTTGTGAAATAAAGCCCTCTGCTGGTAGCAAAATTCTTCCTCATTGCAGGTCTTGAGAATGTGAATTAGGAACCCCAGTCCCTCATCTACCTATCCCCAGCATCCACTGGTAGGAGGGGATTTAATTTACGGGCTCCGAGTACTAAGTGCACAATGAAAAGCCATCAGAAAATGGGCCTTTAACCTGGTGTCATGGCACACATGTGTATAATCCCAGCACTCTAGAGGCTGGGGCAGGAGGAATCCGTGTTTGAGACCAGCCCAAGCCACATAATGAAACCTTGTCTCAAAATAAAAATATAAATAAATAAATAAATAAATAAATAAAAATGAGAGACAGCTAGAGAAAGATTTTAAAATTGTTAACCCTGTTTTCTTAAATTATAGATTATAGCCTTGACTCTTCTGAGATAGCATTAACCTCTCCTTGAGACTGAGAGAAACCCTCCCTGACCAAGCCACATATGCAGGACTCCTGGGAGCCCATGGTAGTAACCAGGACTGATCCAGCTCTAGTGGATAAAAGAACAGAGTGCCCTTTGGAGCTGGGGCCTGAGTCTCAGGTACCAACACACATAGAGGTCTGGAGTGAGGAACAGTTCCAAGCATTAAACACTCCAGCTACAGTTCCATGGAGTATCCAGGAGACTATACTCCAGCTAGCCAGTTCAGGGGTCAGCGTCATCAGCAAGCAGGCAAAAGATCACGGTCCAGCATCACTTGGCCCAGCAGCCCACTGCGGAAGGTCCGGAGGAAGTCCCGGGCTGCCATGGCGTAATCAGGCTGGATAACATTGACATCACCTGAGGACAGAGGGTCTGATGAGAAAGGGACCTCAAAGGATAGCCCAGCTCTAAGGGACCACTAGGGGCACCATCAGTGAAACCTGAGGGACAGGGCATGTTCAGAAAGAACACAAGCAGCATGTCCACCCAGCACTGTCCAGAGCTAGGACCACCCTCTGAAGCCTGTACTACAAAGTCCTTCCTCCTAAAATTTCCATAGTTCCCATTCCCGTGCTCTAATGCTAGGACAGCTGCCCACGGGTTCCCTTCTGTGTCTCCCTCCTGTCCTCCAGAGAGGGTCGAGAGTCCCAGCAGGGGACAGAGTAAGGGTCCCATGCCATCTGGCGCAGCCTCACTCACCTGTGCCTGTGAGTACCTTCACTTTCCGAGTCTTCCTCAGCTTCACAGCCACATTCTTCAGCACCCACTCTATGTGGTCACTGGCACTGGCCAGGCCATAGTGCTGCACATACCTGCAAGCCCACAGCTCAGGTCAGACTTCT